AGAGAGAGAGAGAGAGAGATGATAAATAGTTATATAGTTACATGCTTTTCATACCTTATATGAAAAGGTGGATTGTTTGCCGTAGGAAGACGTGGTAGATTGACTCTGACTGGTTGTGGAACTGTAGCCGCTGTAGCCGCTGGACTTGTGAATCGTCACGATCGGCGGTGGTGCCGGTTTCAGCGGTTGCTCAATAAACCTTCGATCTTAAGGACAAATTACGTGTTACTAAACGGTACAAACGCATAAAATATTTGCGCGTAATTTGTCGTTTTTATATAAATATTGCCTCTCTACACAAGCAAAATCTAGATAAAAAAAAAAACGTAAAAAAAACGGTAATAAGATGTGCGCTCTGCTAGAGATAAAACGAGTAAAACTGAAAAGCTGACCATAAAATAAACGAGAAAGCGTTAATTCAACGTCAAATATTCAACATATCTCATAATGCAAAGAAAAGGAGCACTCATACGATAATTCAAAGGGGATCGTTATTTCTAGGATGTATTTTGATAATTTCGGAGTTCTGGTTATTTAGTTTGGCCACAATATGAAAAAAAGAACCTGTTAAATGTCATAATTCACAAAGAGGATCTCACAAAACACGAATTATGGGAATCTATCGCTTAACTAGGTACTGCTTGTAACAATTTGGGGAGGAGAAGGAGGGGAGGGGAGAATAACAAAGGGGGTAATCTCTGAAAAAGCTCTACCTCCGGAATGTAGGAGGTCGTGTACTAATTTTACTTGCTCCGCCGAATCTGCAGTGCCTACAAATAAACGTTCAATCAGGCTTCGTGAACGAAATCCGGCGTAAATTATTCAAAAGATATCATCGCAATATTGGCAACGAATAAAAGAATTGAAAACTGAAGTGGAGTTCGCAAATTTCTAATTCATGGAATCTGTTCCAAGTATGAAAACACAAAAGTATTGAGAAGTAAGGTCAATAAGAGAAGTGGGTACTTTACAAAATACAAAACATATATAACTTAATTAAAAAATACTTGATTTTTATATCAGGATGTGTTAAAATAAAACATGACATACCTGACACAGTATTCACTTTTCATTGCATTTACCTCACTTATTTTTGTACGCACAGAGATATTAAGAAATATATATTTATATTAAAAAAAATATATATAACGCAATTAAAAAATCCTTGATTTCGGGCACTCGGATAGAGAAATACCTGAGTTATATTAACACGTTAGTTAAGACTGTTGAAGTCAGAG